CCCCGCGGGAGCCCCTCTAAACCCGATTCTAAATCCTCCCGCACGGAGCTCCGCCCCGCGTGGCTCCACTGCAGTGCCTTCCGGGTGCCCTCGCGTCTTTCCTCCCTGGACACTGGGAGGGCACGGGGTGCCTTCTGCCCATTTTAACAACGTCCCGGTTGCCCGTTCCCCTGCCAGGTCGCCCTGCTGCAGCTAATGGGGACTCCTGAGTGGACAGGGCAGGAGGACGCTGTGCGGACTCACCAGCTGAAGATGAAGTGAGCGCTGCCGTCTGGCCCCCTGGACACGCTCGATTTGCACGTGCACGTTCAGGCACTTGCCCCAGCCCTCCTCGCCCCAGGGCTGGCAGGGTCAGACCCTCCGGCCTGCACACAATCCTTAGGGCGTCCTCATCTGGGGGCCCCTAAACATGCACAGTCCCCAGAGGGGACAGCCCTGCAATGTCACATCAGAAACTCACTGCCGGGACGCAGCTGCACATCGTGACGCATGCTAATCCTGCACACGTGGCTGTACGTGAGCTAGGACATGGTCACCCATGTCGCACCGGGCACACACCTGCACGTGCCTGTCCTCAGCCCCCAAAGCGCACACACGCTCACGCACACATACGCGACATGTGTCACGTTCATGCTGTCACAACCTCCTGATGGCACACACCCCACCAAGATGACCTTTTCTCTCAGCCCATTCTTACCTACGGGGCCACCGCTTCCCCCAAGCACCCGTAAAGTCTCTCCCGCTGCTGGTGCTGCCTGGAGGCTGGGCGGCGGGCAGGAGGGCCCCGGGCACGCGCAGCCCCCTCAGAGCTGCACCGCAGCGCCTAATTCGCCCCATCTGGGTTTTATTTATAGTTCCCATCCGCTCTTGTAGGGTAATTAAAACCATGGAGGCGATCAGCGAGGTTCTCCAGGACCTCAGGTTTGATGTGGAGTCTGCTGAGTGATGGTGGCTCCCCAAGGAAGCACGCGAGAGATGGGAAACGCGGCGGATGGCGCCCAGCCCAGCCCTGACCGCCAGCTGGCCGGGGTCAAGCCCCACAGGGCTGCCGACCCTCCTCCAGTTGAAGACTCCTCCCACAATAAAGAACCCGTCCCCTGCAGCTGCTGCACCGTCTCTGTCCTGGGGCGCTGGGGGACCAGTGTGCCTGGGGAGGGGACCCCAAAGGAACAGGGATAGTGGGTAGGAGACTCCCACCCTCCTAAAACTCTGATGTTTTGAATCACACCCTCCAAGGAGTTCAGAACCAGACATGGAAGATTCTGGAGAGAGACCCCAATCCCAAAGGGCCATTGGGATGCCTCACGCCTCCCCCAAACCTCACAGCTCCCACCCCAGGCGGATCCGGCCCCAAACTCACCTTCACGATCAGAGCACCTAAATAGCTCATTTATTTTAAAAGACTTTTGAAGGGGCCCCGGATGTGGGGAGTAATGATTTCTTTTCACCCCCAGCCCCAGCAAGGGTTCTGGGCTACTCAACTAATCCTCACGCACACCCTCCCACACGAGGGTGCACCCAAGGGTGGCCTCACATGGGGCTCAGAGCTGTTTTGGCCGTCAAAGCTCAAGAGTGCCTGCTGCAGCTGCTGCTGAAGGTGATCAGGTGCCCTGAAGTGAGGGTACAGAGGTGGCCCCAGTTTGGGTTCCACCCCTGGGTCTCCGCGTGGCACAGAAGGTGGCCCGAGCCCTTAGAGCTTATCTGGCAGGACCTGTAAGCAGAGGGGAAGCCAAGCTAAGCAGGGAGCCTGGGAGGGGCCAGCACCACAGAGCCATTGAAGAAGCCCCAACTCAGGTCCTGTCCCCACCACTTTTAGCTGTGTGACCTTACACAGGATACTGTCCCCCTCTGGGCCTTGGCTTCCCCATCTTAGAAGTCAGACTATCTGACCATCCCGTGGGGTGTCCTGCAGGTAAAAGCACTTGGCACAGGGACAGCATGCAGTAGGTGCTCATACATGCTAACTAGGGTGAGTATGTTCATTCCTGAGGATGAGATTCCACTTTGGACATTTTCAGGGGGTCGGATGCTCCTTAGGGCGGCTAAAGGCTACAATGCCAGGCACACAGTAAGTGCTAAGTACATGTTGATGAATAAGGCGGGAAGGAGGAGGGATTGCATGTCAGCTACTCTCAGGCTGGGGGTGACGCGCGAGGCCTGCAGCCCGGGGAGGGGCCCTCGTCTTGCTCTGCGCCCACCCACCGAGCCCATCTTACCTCTCGCCGTGCCCCGTCTGCCCGAGGGCAGGATCCCCTCGTCCTGTGCTTGGAAGGAAGGCGGAGGTGTCGTGGGGGCTGCGGACCTATCTCCCCAGCCTGGTTTCCTCCCCCTCCCCTGCTTGTCCCCCCAGCCACCCACCCCCACGTGCGCGGGTCCCTCCTTCCTACCTGGTTGCGGGTCTTGTGCGACTTCTGCATCCAGGCTCGCCACTGGTCGTAGAGGCGGAAGCTGAGGTTCGAGCAGTACGCGTGCTTCTTGAGCCAGCCCAGGAACTGCTTGAGCTCGCGCCGTACCGGCCCCGAGCTCGGCTCGCCGCCCCGGGGCTCGCACGCCCCGCCGCCCAGGCCCGGGCGCTCTGGGAGTGGGCGGGCGGCAGTGTCAGGGCGCTCCCGGCAGGGGTCGCGCGCGCGCAGGAGCAGGAGGGCCGCGTTGCGGCCGCAGCGCGTTCCCCTCGGGCACCTCCCGCCCCGCTTCTCGGGGACTCGGTCCTCCCCGCGGCCCTGCACACAGCTCAGCTGCCCCCACGCCCAGCTGCGCCCCTGGGGAGGTGGGGGCGGGGGAGGAAGGGGCTCCTCCTCCACGTCTCCTCCAGGAACCCGATTCCCGTGGCCCGTGGCCCGAGCCAGGAGCCAGGTGCGAAGGGGGGGAGGGGAGGAGAGAGGCCTTCCGGAGGGATGAGACACAGAGACAGTGACAGGGGAGAAAGGGGGAAGGAAAGAGACACTGATGACAGAGACAGGGAGACGCAGGGGGTGAAAGCGAAGGAGACAGCCTAGGAGATCAAAGGGACCACGGATGGAGAAAGGGCCTGAGCAGGGTGGGACAGAGACCCTGGGGACATAGGGACAAAGAGACCAAGAAAACGGGGAAGAGTGACAGAGAGATGGAGGGAGACAGAGTGCAAGAAGATCCCAAGGGACAGTCCCCAGGCTGGGCCTGGGAGCATGAGCTGGGGGGACAGGGAGTGGGCCGGAGGGCCAGGTGGGAGGCCTGCCTGTTGGTCCAGCTGCCGGCTGCAGCCAGCCCAGAGCAGGCCGGCGGATAAGGACATCGGCCTCACGTCATAAATAAAGCCGGGGACCCGCTGACAGGCCCTGGCACGGCCGCGGCCCCCGCCGCCCCTGCCGGTCTCCCACAGCCTTCCCAGCCTCCCGGGCGGACACAAGGGCCTGCTGGCTCCCGTGCAAGAATTGCAGGTGCTGGGCACGAGCAGGGGCCAAGGCTCAGGCCCCGCCCAGATGCACTCACTCCCGCCCACCCCCGAACCTGGAGGGGCCCGGGATAGGGGCTGGATTGCTGGCTGGAGCCTGGCTGTACCCCTCTCTGGCTCTGGGACTCTCTCCAGGCCTCAGTTTCCCCATCGTCCCATGAGCATGGGCTTGGACTTCCAGTGAACTGAGTTCAGATCTCTGTGTGACCTTCTGGGGTCCCAATGTCCTCACCTGAGAAAAAAGGGGCCTCCCAGCAGTGAAACCATGGGGTGGGGCTAGCGGGGAATGGTACTGCCTGCAAACACTTAGGTGGCACCCACCGTGTGGGCACTCGTCACGGGAATTATGACATCCAACCCTCACAACAGCCTGAGGCAGGTGTGATTCTTGTCCTGACTTCCCAGATGGGGAAACTGAGGCTAGACAATCCAAGCAAAGATTTCATTTCATTTCACAAAGGAGAGAAGGTAAGTCCACGGGCTCAGAGAAAGCCCAGACAGCAAGAGGAAGCAGACCCAGACTGCTAATCATTCCCATCTCCCCGCCTTGATCAGAAGGGGAAACTGAGTCCCATTGGGGGAAGAGTTGCAGCCTATCAGCCTAGGAAGCAGGGGTCCCAAACAGGCTTGCTCTGAGGCTGAGGAGGGAGTTTAAGCGGGCGAGGCCCGCCGGGCGGCCAATGGGAGAAAGGAGAGTGAGGGCTGCTAGTGGGGGCTGTGGGATGTGTCTTGTTACATTTTCTAGAGAATTAATTTTTCTAGGGGATCTAGGATACTTGTGTAAAAACTTCCTGCTTTTAAATTTCTGCAAGTAGGTCAAACTTTTTCTGTTCAAACGATAGGCCAAAGACAATAGAGCCAGGGGCCACATTTGGCCCTGGGGGCCACAGTTTGAGACCTCTGCTCTCTTGGAGAAAACAAGGAAACGGAGGCTCAGGCTGGCTTGGGGCTGGCTCAGGCGCTGCCCAGCCCTGTTGGAGTGCTCACCACTGCGGGGGGTGGAGGCGGCCGTGGGGTGGCTCCACTCGCTCCAGATCCCAGCTTTCTTGGAGCCATAGATGCCGAACGGGTTGCAGCGCACTTGAACGAAGTAGACGGTGCCTGGTTTCAGGCCGGCCAGGCGGCAGGAGGTCTGATTGCTCACATCATCCACCACCTGGGCAGAGAGGGCAGGGTCAGGGGGCGGGGCCAGGGCCGGGGGCGGGGCCAGGGGCGGGGCGGGCACCTTCCAGTCCACACTGTCCTCCACGCGGTAGCGGATCTGGTACTTGGCTTGAAAGAGGAAGTCCTTGAGGGCGGGTGGCGAGACCCAGCGCACGCTCAGCTGGTCCTCCAGGCCCCCGACGCGGCTCACGTGCACATCAGGTGGGGGGTCCGTGGTCACTGCGGGGGCGGAGGGCAGTCTGGTCACTGCGCGGGGGAGGGGGGCTCTCCTTGGACCTAGCTGGGGTCCCTGAGCGCCTGGGAGTGTCTGGGTTCAACTCCCCCAGCGGCGTGGTGCAGAGCACGTGGCTTAGGTGGCACCTGCCTCCGTTTCCCTCCTTCCTCGGCCCCTACCCCCAGGACTGCTGGATTACGTGAAATAGTACTCGAGACACACTCTGCACTAAGCACTCAATTAATGTTAGCTGTTATCGCCGTTATTATCTGTGACGGGAGAAACATAATCCTATCTTCAAGGGGACATGTGGAAGCAGACACTGCCTGGCTGACGACATTACTCTCGTGCCCCAGAGGCCAGGGGGCTGTCAAGCCGCCGGCCTCCTCCTGCCCGCACCTCCAGCTCCTTCCCACTTTACCAGAATCCTTGATGTGACACTGGGTGCAAGGGGACAGCTGAGGCTTGTGAGGAGCGGGGGATGTGTCTGGGGGCTCTGTGGGCAGCAAGGCGGCGGCCTCTCCCCCCAGGCCTTGGCGAGGGGCTGAAAGGGTTAAGGCACAGGCCTGCTTGGGGCTGAGAAACACCCTAATTAGATTAGGCCCAATTCTGCTCGCGGATCATCCATTTCCTGCCTCCCGCCCGCGCCCCCCAGCTCCAGGCCTCGGCTTCCTGGGGCGCCTCCCAGCTTCCTGGGGCGCCTCCCGACCTGAGCGCCCCCTCCCCACTCCCCAGGGCCCCCTCCTGCACACCTGGGCTGCAGAGGGGGAGGCGACCAGGCCAGGTGTTCTCCGCAGAGTGCGGGTATCCTGGCTGTTTTCGGGCCGGGACTGATGAGTGGACGCCCAGCTAACCTGCATCCCCAGCCAAACAGCAGGGACAGACCTGAGTTGCAGCCACGGCTGCGGGGGAAGGCAGGTGGGACGCCAGGAAAACAGACTAGATGCAGGGGGCCCTGTGGGATGCCTGGTGGGCCAGGCTTGCCCTAGGGGAGGGACCTGGTGACCCCAGAGGCTCACCCACATCCAGGATGTCTAGCGTGAGCACGTCGGAGCGCGCAGAGCCCAGGCGGTTGGTGGCCTCCACCCAGATCTCGTAGGGTGTAAAGAGAGCCAGGTCCTTGGGAATGTGGCAGGAGTGAGGCCCCACTGTGTGGTACTCCTCACACGTGTTGTCCTGCCCATACCACCTGTGGGGACCAGAGGGGGCCAGGACACATGAGGGTCCCTTCTGGCCCCCAGACCTCACCATGGCAGCCCCGGGGTGCAGACGGGACATGGGGGCTCAGAGAGGGCCAGCATTGGTCAAGGTCACATGGCCAGCCTGAGACACACATCACCCTGGGGCCACCACCAACCTCAGCTTGTACTTGAGGGAGTAGTTGGTGTGGAGGAAGGTCTCCCCGTGGGCCCCGGGCGTCCAGCGGCAGGTCAGGTCCTTCATGTTCTTGGACCAGCAGCTGATGTTGAAGGGTTTCTCGGGGGGCACTGGGAGAGGGGAAGGGGGCAGGGGCTGAGGGGCTGGACCGGCCGTGCACAGGTGGAAGGGCTGCTGCACCTCCCTCTGCAGGGGGCCCCCACCTTGGAGCGGCAGGAGGGTGGTCAGGGCAGTCTCAGTCGGCAGAGATGTGAGTGGACGTTGGCACGGCCATCTGCATGGGTCTCTTGAGGATGGCGATGAGGGTCTCCAAGCTCCCATTCTCACCCCAGAGACCCGTACTGCTGTGCCAGTGTGCCCACCACTCAGCCCCAGGCCAGAGGGCTCAAGATTCATGCCCTGCTGCATAAGGAGATGCTGTTCCCAAGAGTCACCCCTGGAGGGTCCACTTACGGCCAACATAGAGGCAGGAGCCAGCAAGGATGCTGCCGTCCCGGGCGTGGCACACAAGGTTGTCCCCTGACTGCTGCCTGGACCCGTTGAGGTTGGCCAGGGCAAGGGCCAGGGTGGAGGCGTTGAGCACACGGGAGAGCTCGGGGGCCAGGCGGCGCCCATTGAGGGTCCAGTAGAGACCCTCGGCGGTGGCTCCTGGAGGGTCCCCGTGCACCGAGCATGTGGCCTGCAGGGAGGAGCCGATGAGGAGCGTGGGGTCCTGTGGGCTGATCACGGCCGTGTCTGGGGTCAAAGAGGAACACCTATCAGGCCTGGGGTGGGGCCACCCTGAGCCCCCCACCATGCGAGGACCTCCAGGGCTCACACAGTCCTGAAAAGGAGTGGTTTATCATCATCTCCCATTTTACAGACACAAGGAAACTGAGGATCAGTTAGGTCAGATGCGAGTCCAAGGTCAGTGGCAAAGCCAAGATCAACCCAGCTCTGTCTCACTCCACAGCTCGGATGCTTCCAAACCACTTCATGACTGACTTGCTCAAGGCTCTCTGAGTGGTCCCAAAACTCAGGTATAAATGCCCACTCAGATCCAAGCGACTCTTGCTTTGCACAGAGTTCTGACACTCTGTTTTTTTCCTTTATTTTTCATTTTCTTTTCTTTTTCTCTCTTTCCACAATTAGAAACAAAAGATTGTGAGTTCTTTCTGTGATACTCCCAGAGCCTTATACATAGTAGGTGTTTCTTGGGGGTGGGAGACACTTTGAGAAAAAAAAGAGCCCTGACGTCTATTGGGTGAATTGTTAAGAGCACCATTTATTGAGAACTTGTGGTGTTCTAAATACTGGGCTGAGACTTTGCCTACATTTTCTCATCAAATCCTACTCACTTTATGGATGAAAAAAACTGAAGCTTTGAAAGATCAGGTTCCTTTGCCCTAGGTCATTGAATGAGGGAAAGACAAACTAATATTTGAGCCCAGATTTGTTGGTCTCCAAAGTTGTCCTCTGCGCCGCCACTGGAACTGAAGGCAGCTGTGGCCCCCAACTCCCACCTGAAGGGACTTCACATCATTGCTCTTTCCCTGCACTCAGTTTTCCTAATCTGCAAAGTGGGAGTTGGAAAGCTCTTTGTCTACTGGGCTTCTGTAAAGGTCAGATGGGAAGGGACATCCTAAACTGGGTTGGGTGCTGGGCACAGGGGCCTGGGGGATACCTGCGGGAGGTGCCTCCTCACCTGCAGCCCAGGGCTCCCCCTTCTGAAGACTAGAACCTAACAGGGACCCAGAAAAGGAGGAGGGGATGTACAATCCAAGGCCCCGACGCCTATCTGAGTCTCATTTTCTCCATCTGGGAAGTGGCATCATGGCATCAACCACATGGATCGTTTGAGGGGGAGGGGAGGGGACATACTGTCCTAGGACTTGGGTTTGAAAGCCCCCAGCTCACTGTGGAAGCTTGACCCAGTGGCTTTGCTTCTGTGAGCCTCTGGGAAGAGGCCTCTCCTTCCAACCAGAGAGCTTGCAAGGACTCATCACTCAATGGTTCATGCATTCATTCATTCATCACGGAGCACCTACGAGTGTCCCAGGATCTTCGGTGAAGACCAAGACACAAAAAAATTCCTGCCCTCATGGGCTTTAAATCCAAGGAAGCAGCAGGAAAAAAGAACAAATAAATATCTAAGAGAATAGAACAGGACAAAATAAAGGAGGGGCCAGAGGGAGACAGGGCAGTGGCAGCAACTCAGATAGCCCCGGAGGCTGTCTTGGCGAGGTGACATTTGTGCTGAGACCTTAATAAAGTCAGAGAAGTAGCTGTGAAAGTATCTAGGAGAGAGTGTCCAAGCAACAGGCAACAGCAAGTGCAAAGGTCCTGGGGCAGAAGTGATAGCAAATACTGTCTGAGAGGTTAGCAGGGACCCCCCCCCCTGCAGGGAGGGGTTATTCCAGAGTTCTGAGCAGGGGAGGGAGGGGGTTAGATTTGCATTTAAAAGGACTCCCAAGTGGCTGTGAGAAGCGACTGCAGGAGGGCAGGGGCAGCCTAGCTTCGCAGAGATGGCAGCCAAGGACGGGGCAATCCTGGCCCCCAGGAGGCCCTCTGAATGCCAGTGGCTGCCCTGCACTGGCCCTCACTGCCCCAGATGGGAGAAGTGGGGTGGACACAGTTCTTGGGCCCAGCCATGACGATTTTCCGGGGCAAACTTGGCTCTAGGGCTACATCTTGCTGGAGGCTGGGAGCACAGTTGCGTTTGGGGCTTGGCCCAGGGCTCGCTGGAGGTCTCAGCGTCCGTGCGAAGGAGTAGGCTAAGCGGGCCAGAGCCGAGGAGGCGGGGTCGGCCAGGGGGCGGGGGACCAGGGGGCCGCCCTGGAGGTCCCAGGCAGCCAGCCGCCCGCTAATTCGGAATTCCTTCTGCATGAACTCGGCGTGCCAGCGTCTCTGCCCTGGCCCACCCACCGCTTCCTGCCTGGGCCCCCCCAGCAAAGTGGGAGGCACGGCCAGGCCTGCCTGAACCCCAGACCCACTCTCAGCCCTCCCTGGGTGGGTCGCGCCCCTCCTGCCCCCCCCCAGCCGCCACCGTGGCCTGGCCAAGAGGGGCGCTCTGGGGGGTCCTGGCTGGGGGGCACTGCCCCTCTGCCACACCCGTCTGGCCCGGGCTGGCGTGGCCCACTTGCCAGCAGCTGCAGCTGCCCTCTTGAAGCTGGGCGGAGGAGGGGGACGGGGAGAGCACAAGGCCACGCTGGCCTGGACAGGCCAGTCCCCTACCCCTGAGCCCTGGCAGTAAAGGTCAGAGGGAAGCTTTCTGCTCCTGGGATGTGGGTGCAACGCCAGCTGCAGCACCTGGGCAGTCGGCTTTCCCTCCGTAGAATGGGAGGAGGAATACGTTCTACCTGCTGGGGAGATTGCTGAGGCCCAGCACCCTGTAGCACCTCCTAGGAACTACTGGCATTACAGCCCCTCCCAGCTCTGGGGTCCTGGCTGGCTCCCCACTCCCTCCAAACAATGGGCCCAGGCGCTGGGGACAGGGGAGCAGCAGCTGGGAACAGCCCACTGAGCCTTGGGGGAGGGGGTGCTTGGCCTGGTTTGGAGGGCCTCCTAGAGGGCTCCCCAAAGCAGATCCCTAGGTTGGGCTTTTGGACGCCCCCCATCCCCCTTCACTCTCTGCCTGCCCTGCTTTCCCACAGAGCTGGGGCCTTTAAAAGTTTTTTCTTCCTCCCTTTCCCAATCCGGAGCCACTGCCATTATTAAAAAGGAACACCATGTGTTTTAAAAGGGAAAAGTGTGAGATTCTCTGCAAGTGGGGCGGAAGGGTGGCCTCCATCCCAGGATTCCCCACGGGGGTCCCCATCTCCCGTCCCGCTGGTACCTGCAGACACTTTACGACCCACCCGCCTGCTGGTCAGGTGCTAAGACACACCGTAAGTAGAAACATATTGCCGAGGTGTGAGAATCTTTTATTTAATTTCTTCCCCCTTAAAGGAAAAAACACACGCACAACACCCCCCCCCCTTTTCTGCTCTACAAACTGGGAAACAAAGCTTGGCGCTAACAGTGGCACTCACAGGCACTGCCCACAACCTGGAAGAGCCATCAGGGACCCTGGGAGGGCCTGGGGATAGCCCCTCACCTGCCCAGGTGCATTGGGCGAGCTGGGCTTTCAGCAAGTGCCCCCAGAGGGTGCCCAGACCCTGCCTGTCCCCGAGGAGCCCAAAGTTGAGCCTGCAAACAGCTCAACACAGCGTGGGGCTGCCTGGGAGCAGTGTGTGCCCAGTTGCCCCGGGGTGGCCTGTGCGCCTGGATGCGGTGCATGGAGTGAGGTGAATGTCCCAGGCAGGCTGTGCCTGCGTGTGTGCCCCTGTGTTGCCTCCCCTGTGGAATGAGTGTGTGACCACAAATGTGTGTGTGTCAGGGATGGAATGTGTGTGCGTGCCCGCGATGGTGTGCGAATATGCATCTGGGATGCAGTGCGCGCGAGTCTGAGGGCGAGGGTGACGGGCCACAAGCCAGTGTGAGTCTTTGTGTGTGCCTCTGGGTGTGTCCCAGAGCGGGTCTGGATGTGGAGACGTATCCTGGCGGGGGTGTGCATGGGGGCGCCGGAGAGTGCCTGAGCCCAGGAGCTCCCTACAGGGCGGAGGTCTTGGCCTGTGGGGCAGCGAGTTCCCAGTGGTCCCCCACAAAGTCTGGGCCAGCGGTACCGGACTCACTGGCTCCGGCTCCTTCTCCCTCTCACCCACGAGCGCACAAAGATTTCTCTCGCTGGAGACTCTCAGCCCGGCGCAGCCTGGCCGAGAACGGTTCTGAGCGCCGCCGGTGGCGGGGACTCCGCGGACCCCCGTGCGCGGGGACCCGCAGGGGGAGGGCGGCGGCGGCGCCGGCCCGTGGAGAGGCACGTCCCCCGGGACCCCGGGCGGCGCGCCAGGCGGCCAGAGCGGCCCCCTCCAGCCCCGCCCTCCCCGCAGGGCTCATCCCTCCGCCCGGGGGGGCCTGCTGGGGGCCCGCACCCAGTGCGCCAACCGCGTACGCCCCCGCCTGGGAGCGGTGCCCCGCGGTCCCCACGGCTCCGAATCCACGGAAGTGGACGCGTGCGCCCGCTACGTCCCGGCTGGCAGAGGGTCCCAGGCCACGATCCTCCGGCCCCGGGGGCCAGGCCAGGCACCCTCGGCCAGGCTGCCTAGGTAAGAAGGCCTTGGACGCAGAAGCCGAACCCTCGGGCCCGGGGACTGCCGCACAGTGCGCTCCGCAGGTGAGGGCGCCCCGAGGGCCGCGCCGGGGGCGCCTTCCTTTGTTCCCCGGCTGTCCAGGTGGCGCCCGCGCCCCCTCCCCCCCAGCGGCTGCCCCCGGGGCGCCCGCTCTCTGCTCCGGCGGGAGGGGAGGAGCGGGGCACGGGGTACTCACGGGCTCCTGATCCGGCTCGCGGCGCCCCGAGGACGCAGAGCAGCAGCAGAGGCAGCAGCGGCGGCGGCCGCCGCGCGGATTGGGCGGCGGGGCCCGGGCTGCCGGCGGGCATGGGGCTGGCGCTGCCGGGTGCGCGCGGCTGGCGGGAGCTGCGGCGGCGGCGAAGCGGGGCGCGGGAAGCGGGAGGGCGCGGGCCGGGCCGCCCGCACGTCGCTGGGCGCGGACGCGGAGGCCGGAGCAAGTCTGAGCAGCCGAATTGACAAGGCGCTAATGCGCGGCTGGCCCCGCCCGGCCCCGCCCCCGGCCCGGCCCGGCCCCGGGGGGGCGGCGGGCCCCGCACCGGCCTCCCCGCCGCCCGCCAGCCCGCGGGCACCGCGCGTCCCACCCGTCCGGCCTCCGCCCCACCGCGGACCGGGCGCGCACCCTGTCCCGCGGTCCAGGCCCCCCGACTCAACTCCTACCGGTCCGAACCTCCCTCTCCAACCCTGCCAGGTCCATGCTCCCCACCCCTAGTCTGGGATCCGGCGTCCCCAATCCCGTGTCCACACCCCTGTCCGCTTCCCTGCACCCTGCTCTCAGCCCAGTGCCCCTTCAGCGTCCCCTAAGTCCCCCAATCCTGCGCCGCTCCTCCATGCCCCCCTCCCCCACCCAAACTTCTGTCTAGGCTCCTACCCCACTCTGGCCCCGCCCCCCACTGAGCGGTCCCTGAGCCCCGCCTACCCCCATCTCCAGCCCCTCTTCCTCCCCTGGGGCCTGAAAGTAGCCCCCAGCCCCACGTCCCCGGCGCGCGGGTCCCACCGGTCTCGGCCCTCCCATTTCATCCCGCCTCTCTTTGGTTCTCCGCGCGTAGCCTCGGCCCCGGGCTTTGCTGGAGGAAAGAAGGAGGAAAAGCAGGAAGGCACGGAGTCCCCGGCCCTCGCCCTGGCTCAGCGGTCCCCCTCGCGCGGAACGGATTTGAGGTTGCTCGGGGCCGCCCTGGAGCCTCAGCAGGGAGCTGCTGTGCGGGCAGATGGGGAGATGTGGTCCCCCGTGGGAGCGGGACCCCAGGCCTGCGCGAACGGCGTCCCTCACCCGGGTAGGAGGGATTCGCAGGAGCAGAGCGGTAAGGAGGACTTCCCCCGGACTCACTCACAACCCTCCCACGGAAAAATCCACTCAGCGGCCCGCGGGTGGGGTGCGCCACGGGGTGAGTAATCGCTCGGGCGGCCGCCGCCCGCCGACTCCAGGTAACGCCGGCCGCCCGGAGCGACGCATAGTTTGTCTTGCTTCTTTTTGCGCGAAGAGTCTTCTCTGTGTTATTATTTTTGGCCATTGCTCGGGTTTCGGGACCCCTCCCCGCCCGGGCGCCTCATCTTCCTTCTCTCCGTCCCCACCCGATCCGGGCGCCCAAGAGAAAAAGGATTCCTGGCCTCCAAGGCCCCCGCTGAGGGGGTGCCTGAAATGAGAGTACCCGGGCGGTCCCAGCCTGGCGGTTTGGGTCGCAGCCCCGCCCCCAGCTGCAGTGTCCTGGGAGGGAACGAGCTCTAAGTCCCCTTTGCAGGCGTTCCCTTAGAGGCCTGCACCCTCCTCCCGTGTCCCCAGCCAGCCAAGTGGGTAAAAGTGTCCAAGGGGGGACTCAAGGTTGTTCGGCCGACCTCGGATCCCAGTTCAGACTCCAGATTGTCAAAAAAGATTTGAGGATGGGGCCTGGGGGCTCAGGCCGCCCCTCATCTGGACCCCGGATAGGGAGGAGGGAGGAATAGCCAAGGAGGGGGTACTGTCATTTACTGGGGCAAACCAGGCCTCTCGTGCCTCAGTTTCTTCCCCTGCACACTGGGTAACCGCTAGCCAAAGGGCTTCCGTGAGAAGATGCCATGCGCAGAAGTCTCCACAATCTAAGCGCTTAGCACAGCACTGCACATTCTGGAGCAGAGGTGGTCCTCAGGCCTGTGTGTCCCCAGCGACAAATGGGGCCATAGTTCCACCTTGGCCGAGTGGGTTAAGTGGAGGTGGCAGTTCTTGGTTGGAATTGTGTTTCCAGGATGCTTGCCACCCATCCCCCACAGCCCGTGCCCTGCAGATGTTCCCTGTGGGGGTAGAGACGTCTGGTCCCCTCCTGGGAGGACTTCGGGCTTGTGGAGCAAAATCATGGTATTTTTTCCCCCATCCCTGCACCTCCCCCAGTTGTTTCAGCCTCGGGGAAAGGGCTCCCCCATCTACCCAGGTGCTCAGGCCAGAGACCTGGAAGCGCGCGTGACAACTCTCTCCTTCGCTCATCCCACATGTCCAATCCATCAGCAAATCCTGTTGGCTCTGATTCCAAAACACATCCCCATCCTGAGACTTGGACCCTTTCTCCCCACTCCTTTCGGATCCAGGCTCCGCGGTCTCCTTGGGGGATGCCTCCGGGCCTCCTTCTCTGGGGCTTTCCTGATAACCCTCCTACCTTGATCTGCACGGCAGGCAGGAGAGCTTTTAAGGGAAGGGAAGAGTATTGTCTCTGCCCTGACACGCCCACCCTGATCTCTCCCTCCTCTTCTCCCCTCTCCTGCCCTCCCTCACTCAGCTCCAGCCACTGCAGCCCGTTTCCCCAAACACGCCAGGCTTGTTACTATCTAAGGGCCGTTGTGCATTGGCTGTTCCCTCTGCTGCAGTGCTGTTCCCCAAATCTCGCCCAGTCAGCCCCTTCTCTGCCATCAGGTCACAGGTCCAATATCACCTCCTCGGAGAGGCCTCCCACCCTTCCCAGGTACTCTCCCTCCCCTTTACTACGTTTTATTGTCTTTGTAACAACAGCTCTTTGAACAGCTTATTTCTCCAGCAACTTCTTTTCTTTAGACTGTGAGCACCCCAAGTGCTCTTGGGGACCCCATGCTGGGCCCAGCGAGGGTTGAAAGTTCAATAAATGTTGGCAAAATGAAAGGATGGAGGCAGATTCTCAGTTCCTCCAAGTGGCAAGAAAATTCAGTCCCAGCAAGTCATGCTGCCTGGGGGTCCGAGCCTGCCACGCTCCGCCTGATTTGCTGTGTGACCCGAGCCAGTAGACATCCCTTTCTTGTCCTTACCTGTAGAGGGGTATGGACTATTTCTCAATCCTGCCCAGCCCCATGCTGGAGTGTGACCTCTGCCCTCTGGGTGACCTTTACCCGATACCTTTGGCTTTAGGGAAAGGGAATTGACCCAGAGGGATGTCCTTCCCTGCCCTTGGTGCCCGCCATGGCTTAACCCCTTCCTCCCAGTTCCACCACCTCTTTGCACAGAAGGGGGACCTGCATTGCGGAACTTCCTCAAATATTGACCCAAGTCCTTGAAGGTGGCTGGGAATGTACTAAGGGACAGACGGGAGAGGGCCTCCCCCATGGGCTAGGGGTGGGGCTTCTCCTTAGTCCTGTACCCTCCACCCAAAGCTCACCTCTGGGTGAGAGAGCAGGATGAGGTTGGGGGGCCCTCTAGCTCCAGCTGCCTGCGCGATTCCAGGGCACCAAGGGGGCACCAGGGAGGGGACAATGGAAACAGCACCTTCAGCGTCCCATGGGGACCCACAGCAATCAAAGAGCAGTGAGGATCTGGATGCCTGGGTCGGGGACTGTGTCACAAGAAGGTGGCCTGTGTGTGCCCTCGGCTTTGTAATTTCCATCCTGGAGGCTGAGCCTGACAAATCAGGGTGCCTGGGTCCCCAGTTTAACACAACCTGGGCTTCAGGCTCCAGAGCAGGGACAGGGGAGCTGCAGACTTGCCTAGGCCTGGCCCGGGCAGGTGCGCACTCCGGCCCGGGGGGCCTGGGCTGCGTGCCCCTCCGCACCCTGAAGGACCTGGGAAGTCTGAGTCCCAGGAGGAGCCAGCTCGGTGGAGGAGGGGACAACAGCTCCCCTCCTTCCGCCCCTTACAACTGTCAGCAGGCGGCAGGCGCCGCGGTGCCTTGCCTCCTCCCCAGCCTGTACCCGGCTTGGGGGTGGGGGTCAACAGGGTCGTGGAGAGGGCTGCAAGGGACAAAGGGCGCTTGTCCGCTGCCTGCCTTGACCTCGGCCGCGGCTTCCCGGACGCCTGGCCCGCCGCTGATTCACGCCCAGGCGGGCCGCAGCGCCCCCCGCCCGCCGCCCCAGGCCAGGCCGCCCCGGGGGGTAGGAAGTGGGGGGGCGAGGGGCGGCGCCGAGTCAACTTTCCCTCTTAAGCCCCGAAGGAATGTCGGCGGATTTCCTGAAACCCGACCCTGGCCGCCCGCCGGCCCACCCGCCCCTCACCTGGACCCGCTCCCTCGGGAACGGCAGGAGGGGCGCGGGGGCTCACCTGGGGGGCTAGGGTCAAGTCCTCCTTCCGCTCCCCGCCCCCAGCAGCCTCGTGGAGCGGAAAGGGGGGTGGGTGGGCTGCAATCAAACGCTCTCCCTTCTCTCTTTGGGCGACCTGGCCCCCCAGCCCACCCCTCCAGCCTCAGTTTCCCCTTCTGCAAAAGGACTCGAGGTGTCCCTCTTTCCTGTTGCACTTTAAGGGATGCCTCTTACGCCCTAAGGCCCCCTCCTAGGTTGACAGGGCTCTGCCCGCTTCTCTGCTTCTCTCCCTCGTCACCTGGGCCGAGATCCTTTCCGGCTCCGCGCCTTAATTTCCACATCCGGAAATAGGACGTTACCGGTACCTTTCCTATAAGGTTGTTGCAAGAAAATGGTTTTTGCAAGAAGTGTTTTGTTTGGAATGAATGAAGGACATTCATTGAGGAGGGGTTAAACGCGCGGGCCTCTGGAATTAACATGTGTGGGCTTGAATCCTGTCTCTGCCGAGGAGTCCGGGAGCCTAAGTTTCCCACCTGAGAAATGGGGGACAGGATTGCTCTTAATACACAGGGTGCTTTTTTCCCCCCAAGGGGCGGGCCTGGCGCGCGGGTGGGTTAGACGCGGGGTTCCCCGGCTCGATTCTCACCGCCACCGGCGGGCGGGAGGCCCTCGCCGCCGGGTCGCGACGGCCTAGCCTGGGAGGGGCGGGGCGGGGGAGGGACCGCGCCGGGATCCAGATGTTCGGGGTCCGCCGGGCACAGCCGCGCCTGATTAAGCCACGTGGGGGCCGGCCCCGAACCGCGGAGATGAAAGCGCAGCGGCCGGCCGGGGGAGGGGGTGCGCCAGGCCCCCCAGCTCCGGCCCCCTCCTCCCGGGCCGGAACCTGCAGCGCCCTCTGACCCGCCAACCTTGCGAGGCTGCCGCCCAGTCTGCGGGGGCGGAGCGTAGAAAGGGGAAGCGCGGGCGGCGGCGCGGTGCGGCCTCTGTAGGCACCTGCGCTAGGCGCGCCAGCGAGAGCGGGGTCATCTTTGCAGAGGACCCGGGTTTAGAGGGCGCCCCCATTCCGGTGCCTGATGGGGAGGAAGCTGGAGGACCCCCTAACCTGAGACTTGGCTCGTGGTCCTACAGTCCGTCACCACGGGGTGTGGCAGTTATGGAAGCCAGACGTGTCCTTGTTTCCGCAAGTTCTCCCACGAGAATTAGAACTTTTGGCAGGCGCCCTTCCCCCTGCCCCTGTATGTATCTCTGTGTCTCCTCCCACTAAGCTCTGGGCTGAGGGACCCCCAGCCTGGGGGACAGGGCCAGATCCCCCAGGTCCTTGGATCAGGACTGGGACAGAGGGAGATGAGGCTGAAGGAGCGGTGGAGGGGCTCAGAGGGCTTCCTGGAGGAGGCGAACTGTGCACAAGTTCCTCTTCCCTCCGACCTGGGTGCCGAACCCTGCCCAGTGCTGCGGCCCTAACCTCTCTCCATCCCGCCGCCCTCCCGCCTTCTACAGCGAGCTCTTCCTCGCCTCCGGGCCCTGGCTGTTCCCTCTGCCCGGATCGCCTTTCCCTCTCCCTTCCCTCGTGGCCCGCTCAGATGTCGCGTCCGCCGCGAGGCCCGCCTTGACACCCGTGGCGAACAGACACCCCCATCCCATCACCCTATTCGATTCCTTTGGCCCCTAGCGCTGACTGAGATGCCCCGCCCGCGGTTACCAGGGAGACGTCATGGGACCCGGGAGATCGGACCGACGGTGGGGACGGCAATCCACCTGCCCCGCCCGACCCCCGCCCCGACTGTGCCGCAGCTCGGCTCCCCCGCCCGTTCTCCGCATCCCCCGCCCCCCCTTCCCAGGCTGCCTCACTCGGGTGACGTCAGCGCCCCGGTCCCCGCCGCGGCCGCCGCATCCTCCGCGCCGGCCCGGAGCCGGAGTCCCCCGCGCCCCCTGCGCTCGGCCGGGACATGGCTGCGGTGGCGCTGATGCCGCCGCTGCTGCTGCTGCTGCTGCTGGCATCGTCGCCCGCTGCCTCCGCGCCGCCCGCCCGAGACCCCTTCGCCCCGCAGCTCGGGGACACGCAGAATTGCCAGCTGCGGTGCCGCGACCGCGACTTCGGCCCGCGGCCCTCGCAGGTGAGGCGCGTGCGGCGCCAGCCCGGGGAGTCGGTATCTCTCCGATGGGGGAGGGGTTGGGGATGCGGTTCTCTCGGACGGGAGCCCTCGGAGCGGGTAGGGGCTGGGTATCAGGAGACCCCTCCGGTGGGGGAGGGGGAGAGGGTCGGGGTCCCTCGGATGGCGACTGGGGCGTTTCTCCCGCGGGGGACGGGCTGGGGGTCCCTCCGGTGGGGGAGGGCTTGGAGATACAGGTCCCTCGATCCAGTGCAGGGCGTGGGGAAAGCGAGTGTGGGGCTGGGACTGCGGCTCCCGCTGCCGCCGCCCGGGCTCCCGCTGTGCTCTGCCGCTCACGGCCCTTGGGCGCCCAACCCCACCTCCCTCAGGCCTGACGGTTCCCCCACCTCGTCCCTGCTTCTCCACATCCTCTTCCCTCCCCACCTTACCTGTCCTGGTCAGAGCTACCAGCCCCACTCCTATCATCAGACCAGACCCCTCAGGCCCGATCCAAAGGGTGACAAAACCTGAGTGTCCCCCTCCTCCTCGGGTCTGAGAGTCACTCTCAATCTACCCCCTCCTCCCTGGAGCCTTAGGGGGCCCCTTTCTCGCCACCAGTGCCCTTCCTTGTCCCTTCCCCTTCTCCAGCCCCTCCTAGTCTCTCCTCCGCAGAGCTAAGAGCCCCACTGATGTTCCTAGTGTCCCCCAACCTCATTCCAATCTCTCTGGATTTGGAGGAGGGGGGCAAACCTTCCCCTGCCTCTCCCGAACGCTTCCAGTCCCCACCTGTCTCCCCTGGCCTGAGCCCCGGGTCCCCCCTCCCCCAGGCAGAGCCTGAGGGCCCCTCCGAGTCTCCCTGTGACAGGGCGGTTCTGATCAGCGCCTGTGAGCGAGGCTGCCGCCTCTTCTCCATCTGCCGGTTTGTAGCCAGGAGCTCCAAGCCCAACGCCACCCAGACAGAGTGTGAAGCAGGTGAGGGCTGTGGCCGGGTGGGCCAGGGCGGGACGGGGGGCAGGTGGCCCTCAAAGGGCTGCCCCCAGGCAAACCCCTCGTGCCCCTGCAGCCTGCGTGGAAGCCTACGTGAAGGACGCGGAGCAGCAGGCCTGCAGCCGCGGCTGCTGGAGCCAGCCCCCGGAGCCGGCGCCTGCGCTGGAGCGGAAGGTGGGCATCTTCCCAAATCCTCACTCACCGCCAGAGTCACCAGGCTCTGTGTTCCATTCCTGGCCTTCGGGGTGATCTCGCTCCAGCCTTGTCATGTCTCCAGCCTCAGTTGTCATCTCTGTGACATGGGACACACTACCCCCCATCTTTTGAGGTGACAGAAAACAGCCACTGTTTATCAAGCACTTATCCTGGATCAAGCTGACTTCAGCCTGTCCCAAGTTCCTTGTGCCACTTGGAGGCACCAGGGACAGTGTCACCCCTATTTTGTGCCCAGAGAGCAACTGCCCAGATCTCACATACTCAGGGCTATGCAAGAGGCAAGATTTGAAGCCACCAGGGCTTGTGGCCACCTCTCACCTCTCTCATCCTAGGTGTCACCCGAGCTGCCAGGTGCTAATCTAAGCCCTTCACCTGTGATGAGCAGGTGGCCACTGTCACCTGGAAGGGCTCGGAACTGAGGTTCAGGGAGGAGCAGCCTCCCAGGCATGCACACATCTACCTGTCACAGTCGGTGACCGAGTCCAGACAAAGCTGCATCAGGGGAAACTGAGGCACAAGAAGTCATGCAGCACAGCAAGAGACTCATAAACTGGGACTCCCCAGAAAGCCCTTTTGCTCATTCATTTGCTCTTGTTCCTCCAGCCTTTTACTGTTCGGAAAAGCCACCACTATCAGCCCTTCCCATTCAGAGCTCCCTCTTGATGCTGTCAAAACAAGAATAATGAGGATGGTGATATTTGCAGTAGTAGTGGTACTACACGTTAAGTGTTTCCACTGTGCCAGGTGCTTAGCAGACATTGTCTCATGGCAACCCCATGAGGGAAGAGAATCATCCCCATTTTAGGGCTCAGAGAGGGCAATTCACTTCCCCAAGAGCACACAGCCAGCCAAAGGCAGCAGTGAGGTCTGTGTATGTTACATGAGACACTGTTGCCCAAAACCACTTAGGCAAATCCAGTCACACTGAATTCTGCCTGCCCCTTCCTGTCAGTGAATGCCCTACTTTGATGACATTTCTGTGCCTTGGGCCTCCTCTCACCAGAGAAAGGTCCTGGAAGCTCCGAGTGGGGCCCTCTCCCTCCTGGACTTGTTTTCCACTCTCTGCAATGACCTTGTCAACTCAGCCCAGGGCTTCGTGTCCTCTACCTGGACGTACTACTTGCAGACTGACAATGGGAAGGTGGTGGTGTTCCAGGTGAGAGCTCTGGCAGGGGCCACGGCAGAGTGGCAGGTGGGTGGTCAGGGTAAGGAGGTGGGATGCATTGGACCTTGGCTCACAGGATGCAAAGGCCACAGTAGGTGAGCTTCAGGCACAGCTGGATCCAGGGGCTCCACCCCTTGACTCTGCTTTTTTCTGTGGTGGCTTCATTCCCAGGCATTTGCTCTCTGTTGACAGCAGGGTGGATGCCAGAGGCTCTAGATTACAATCCCTCTGGGGTTTTAACCGAGCTGGGGTTTACTCTGATTGGCCCTTGTTGGGTCATATGACCACCTTTCAGCCAATCCCTGTGATTCTGTTGGCCTGGCCTGGGTCACGTTCCTACTTTGAGAGCTGAAGGCCGGTGGAGGGGCCCATGCTAGCGGAGAACAACATCCCTGACATCAACCTGTAGCCCATGGAACAGTGTCCTCCCTACCCAGCTGCCCCCCAGTGGAATGAGGTGCCAGCTGGGCCTGGGACACTGTAGTCCACTTGGGGCACAGCGAAGCACCTGCCAGGGCCCAGGTGGTGCCTTCTAACAGGGCTCTGTGTGCCATCTTGTTCCCGGCCAGACCCAGCCCGTGGTAGAGAGCCTTGGGTTCCAGGGGGGCCGTCTGCAGCGAGTGGAGGTGACCTGGCGGGGATCCCGCCCTGAGGCCTTGGAGGTGCATGTGGGTAAGGTCCAACCCAGACCAGTGTTCCTCACTTGGGTGGCCCCACTGCCATGAGGAGTCCTCTAGGACTGGAGCCTCCATCGCACAATTCCTGGGTTCTGTGGTCCCAGTCCTGGAGTTCCCTGGTCCATTTCCCAGGGTTCCTATCTGCATTCTAGGATTCCATGCCCACTGCCCCAGCTCCTGGCCTCTTTTCTTTTCTTTGTGGCTACTGTGGCCCCTTGGCGAAGGCGTGGAGGCACTGAGTGGTGGCCCATCTCTCAGACCCCGTAGGCCCTTTGGATAAGGTGAGGAAGGCCAAGATCCGAGTCAAGACCAGCAGCAAGGCCAAAGTGGAGTCCGAAGAGCCTCAGGACAACGACTTCCTCAGCTGCATGTCTCGGTGGGTGGCAGGAACCTGGGGGTGGGGCAGGGGTCTCCCAGGCCCTGGCAGGGCTCAGGAAGCTGAGTGATGGCTGCTGGCCGGGCAGGCGCTCGGGGCTGCCCCGCTGGATCCTGGCCTGCTGCCTCTTCCTGTCCGTGCTGGTCATGCTCTGGCTAAGCTGCTCCACCCTGGTGACCGCGCCGGGCCAGCACCTCAAGTTCCAGGTGGGTGGGGGCACGGGTGGCACCAGGCTGAGGGAGGGGTGGGAGGCAGAGGGAGCTGTTCCCGGGTCCTGGATTAAGTCAGCCCCTCTCATGGAGGCGAGGACCTCTGGCTTGCCATATGACACTGGGCAAGTTCAGGGTAGGGGGCTCAGTAGCCCTCCCCCCTTCCTCGCACCCTCCCTCCTTCCTTCCCCTGCTGCAGCCACTGACCCTGGAGCAGCACAAGGGCTTCATGATCGAGCCGGACTGGCCCCTGTACCCTCCGCCGTCACACGCCTGGGAAGACAGCCCGCCACCCTGCAAGCTGAAGCTGGACCTGACCAGGCTGTAGGAGGCCGGGCATTGCCAAGTGCGCGCAGGGCCCCGCAGGCCTCACTTGCCCTGTGCCTGGGAGTCCAAGGCCAGGGCGGGACCCTCCCTGGGCTCCTCCACCCCCAAGTTCTTTCTCTCCCCCAGTCCCACCCTTCAGTCCCCTGAGTCCTGGGGAAGCGATGCCTTGGCTGGGGGTGGGGAGGTCCCGGGATCTGGCCTTGGTTCCTCCCCATCCCGCTGTCCCAGGGGTTCTCCCAGGGGCGTGCTACTTTTCGTCTTCTATCTTGTGGCTTTCTGAGTATATGAACGCCAGTCCTGTGTCACCTTCCTTCTTCCTTCTCTCTCCCCTCTCCAGGGGGTATTGAGGGTGAGGCCACAGGGGTGCTGCCTCCCACTGGGACCTGCCCCCCTTCTTTCCCTCCCCTCCTTCCGAGACAGAGAGGGGGGCGTGGCAGCTCTGCACTGGGGGGAGGGCCGGTGGGGCACAGCATGGGGTGGGGAGGAATAAACCATGTATATAAAACAGTCCTGAGCTCAGCCTGCTTCTGTCTGTCTGCCTGCCCTTGGGCGCGTGGCCTGAGCATGGCCGTGACCCCTGCCCAGCAGGGCCTTCCTGACATGAGGAAGCCCCAGGAACTCCCTGGTGGCACAAGGAGCACAAACCTGCAGAGTCCCTTTGTTCCCAGCCCAGGTCACACTCTCGGCTAGGGGTGTCTCTGAAAGAGTGGCTTGTGGCACCCACCTGGCCTGGGACGGTCAGTGTCCCTTCCTAGACCTCAGTGTCCCTCCCGTGAAATGGACAGGTCACATCTTGAAGAGGATGTCATTTTGTAGCCACCTGGCTTCTCTTCCCTTTTCTTTTAGGGCCAGAGCTCTGGTCCACTGGGGGCAGTCTCAGGGCACTGTCCCTGGGCGGTGGCTAGGAGATCAAACCCGGCATTCTTTCCCTGCACTTTGCATTCAAGAGCACTCGGACAGGACCAGCCACGCCGCGAGGAGGCCACCACCCTGGCTCTCTGTCCTTCCGGTGCATTCCGAGTATGATTCATCCAGATCCTTTCATTAAATTCCCTCTTAGCGTCGGTGGACTCAGCGGAGTTCCTCTCCGTGGCGCACAGCTGGGGACTCCTGGCTGGCTCTGGCCTTATCTCCCGAGCAGAGGTTGGGGTCAGGGGAATGGCGGTCCCAGCCCCCAGGCAAGGGGGGTGAAGTGTCTAGGAGCTCCAGGTTGCTGGTGTGATGGGTGGGCAACAGCTGGGGGCAGGAAAGTGAGTTAGAGGGAGCCCAGTGGGGCTGGGTATGGGCCCCTCCACCCTTCAGCCCACCCTGTGTCCCGGAAGCTTGATCCGCTGGAGTCCGCCAGGGAGACGCTGGCAGGACGTGGGAGGAGGGAGGAGCTGGGGTCTTTCCCCGACAGTGTCCATCGCAGCAGCCCCTGACCCAAGACCACAGCGCCACCAGCAGCCCCTGCTCCTTCTCCACCTCCAGGACCCTCCGGCCTGGGCGTGGTGACAGCCCCGTGGGTGCTCATCCTGGTGCCACCCCACTGGTTCCCCAAACCCTGGCCACACCCTTGAAAATAACCCCGTTGTTACAACTGTCCCGAATCGCCGGTTCTGAACAGCTCCTGCTGCGGGCCCTGCCTGGGACCCTGAGTGTCGAGGAAGATTCAACCCAGGAACAACACGGGCCCCAGGGGGGGAGATGTCATTCAGGGCCCTCTGTGGGGTTTCAGGGCAGCCTCTAAGAAAGTCGCCCAGGAAATGAGACGTGGGCAGAGGTGGGCGGGGAACAGCAGCCAAAGCTGCCTGGCAGAACTTTCTTTGATGATGGAAATGTTCTGTCTGCACACCCCAACCACAAACCCTGGCTGCTGTAACTGAGGAATTGGATTTCTTATTGCATTTAGTTTGAGTTAGTGCACATTTAAGATTTTTCCCCTATTTTTTTTGTTGTGGTAAAAAAAATTTGTATAAAACTTGCCATTTTAATGAGTTTTTTGTTTTTGTTATTAGAGATAGGGTCTTGCTCTGTTGTCCAGGCTGGAGTGCAGTGTCACGATCATAGCTCACTGCAGCCTCCAACTCCTGGGCTCAAGCCATCCTCCTGCCTCAGCCTCCCAAGTAGCTGGGACTACAGGCGCGCACCACCACATCCGGCTAATTTTTTCTTTTTCTTTTTTCTTTTTTTTTTTTGGTAGAGACGGGGTCTCGATCTTGCTCAGGCTGGTCTCAAACTCCTGGCCTCAAGCGATCCTCCTGCCTCAGCCTCCCAGAGTGTTAGGATTACAGGCGTGGGCCACCTATCTCAAGGCTCCGGACGTCTGGGCTGCATCTTGATTCTTCCCTGTCCTCGCCTCGTTTCCTTGAGCAAGGCCTGTCCCTTAGGCCTGCAAAACATATCTTCAGCCCACAAGCTTCTCTGCATCTCCATGGCAACCACCAAGGTCCAAGCTGCCACCGCCTCTCACCCGACAACTGCTCCCACCTCCTCTCCAGCTGCCGTCCAGTTCTACCCCAGACAAAGCGACCCCCGATCCCAGACCTCACCCCCATCTGGGGTTTGCTGTTGCCTTGAGGAGCCCAGCAAGGCTCCCCCGTGATCTAGCCCCACTAACATCTCCAACTACTTTTTTTTTTTTTCTGAGACAAGGTCTCACTCTGTCGCCCAGGCTAGAGTGCAGTGACGTTAATATAGCTCACTGCAGCCTTGAACTCCTGGGTTCAAGCGATCCTCTTACCTCAGCCTCCCGAGTAGTTGGGACTAGAGGCGTGCGTCACCATGTCCGGCTAATTCTTTCGTTATTTTTTGTATAGATGGGGTCTCGCTATATTGCCCAGGCTGGCCTGGAATTCCTGGCCTCAAGCGGTCCTCCTGCCTCAGCCTCCCAAAGTGCTGGGATTACAGGCGTGAGCCACCGCGCCCAGCCTCCAGCTACTACTACAGGGGCTCTGGCCCTTGCTCCTTCTGCTTCAGCGGCACAGGGCTCTGTCTGCATTCCTTGGGCCTACCTTGTTCCCTCCAGCCCAGGGTCTTTGCACATGTACCTCCGTCTGCCTGGAACACTGTCCCAGCCCTGCTCTGCCCAAGTTCTCAACTAAAAGGGCTCCTCAGCCTCCCCAGATTGGGCCAGTGCCCCTTGTGATATCCAAGTGTAGCTCCCTGTCCCTCTTCCTGCTCTTGCTACATTTAAAATGTATTAATAATTATTTGTTTCAACGTTGGCCTCCTTTAACTTAATTTTATAAGCTCCATGAAGGCAGCTCCAGAGGGTTTCATATTATGCAACTGATTCCAGGTGATCGGTAATTATTTTTGCTTGGGCGTCTCCCCATTTCTCTCTTGGGCCCCCAAAGCAGCCTCACCCTGTCAAGTCTATGCCCTACATGGGGTCCGACCATGTCTCTCCCCTGCTGACCACTGTGTGTGACTCCCTGTTGCCCTTGGATACCGCCTCACTTCCCCTGGTTACCTAGTAAGAGCTTCCCATCCTTGCCTGCCTGGTGGCCACCTCTCCTATTGGATCTCTCCCACCTCTTGGTCTTGGAGATGAAAATGTGGGCTGTCCTTGCTGTCCTCAGTGGTACCATCAATGGCCTGGCCTCTGGGGCTTGGCCAAAGCTTGCTTTCTGCTTGGAACGCTGTGATGGACTTGCTGGGAACCTGCCTGGCACCAGCCGCCCTCCTCCTTCTTCCTAACAGAACTCTGCTCTGGTCTGATCATTGGCTGTGTGGCTCAGGGGACGTCAAGTGGCATGGCCCATGCCTCCTCTGGCACAGGCGTGATGTATTGGGAGGGAGACCTGCCTTGTGAACTGGGGTTGCTGAGCCAGGAGGATGTGATTCTGGAGCTACTGAGGACCATCGGTCACCATGATGACAATACCTGCCAGAGGGATGGAGAGAAACTGTGTCTTTCTGCCATTGTTGGCAGTCCTGGATTAAGCTGTGCCTGAAGTCCACCTGCCCCTCTATTTTTGGCCCAAGTCAGTTTATGTTGGGCTTTAGCCCTGGGCTGGGCCAGAGCGGGTGCCTGGTAAACGCAGAATGAACAGTGCCAGGTGGTATAGGCTCTGTGGCATGTGGAAGTGGGAGGGGAGGCCCTTCCACCAGGCAGTGGGCAAGGACTGCCTGGAGGAGGTGGCAGCTGAGTTGGACTTTGAGGGGTGGGTAGAATCCGGGGAGAAGTGGGTGTCCCAGGTGGAAAGGAAAATTGTGTGTGTGTCTGTTAGAGCTGTGTATGTGTGTAGGTGTGTCACAGGTGCCCAGGTGTGTGTGTGTCAGAGCTGTCTCTGTGTGTAGGTGTGTGTGTGCGCGCGCATCATGTCCCCTGCCCACCTGTGGGCTCCAGTCACCGCCTAGGAGGCACACTTGGCCTTCGCCCTGACACCTCCTGCCTACTTCTCCCTCCATTTCCCCCTCCCCGGGGCCAGCCTTGCCTGTGCACCCCAAGGCCTTTGCACGGCCGCACCCATCGCCTGGAACATTCCTTCCCTAGATTGGCTCCCTTCCTTCATTTGTTTTTTTTTTTTTTTTTTTTTTTGAGACAGAGTCTCACTGTGTTGCCCGGGCTAGAGGGCCGTGGTGTCATCCTAGCTCACAGCAACCTCAAACTCCTGGGCTCAAGCGATCCTCCTGCCTCAGCTTCCCGAGTAGCTGGGACTACAGGCATGCACCACCATGCCCGGTTAATTTTTTCTATACATTTTTAGTTGTCCAATTAATTTCTTTCTATTTTTAGTAGAGACGGGGTCTCGCTCTTGCTCAGGCTGGTTTCGAACTCCTGAGCTCAAACAATCCGCCCGCCTCGGCCTCCCAAGAGAGCTAGGATTACAGGCGTGAACCACTGCGCCCGGCCCTTCATTTGTTTTTTTAAATCCGGTATCACCTCCTCTCTGAGGGCCCCGAACTTGCCTCTCTTTAGCTGTTTCTGCTCATCTCCTGCTGCTTTTTCTTTCTTCCCATTTTCCTCTTTATGGGATCATCGCCTGCCTCCTCCCCCACCCCAAACTGGGCACA